GCCTTCGAGTCGCTATTCTCAATACTGTAAGTTTACTGCTCCTTAGTTGATTTTATTGAGCTTATAGGATAGCTGTTCTCGTATACATCAGTAATGGCGTTGCTGAGATTTATAATTATAGATTGCAGCTGCGCTACATACTGAATATATATTCTACTGGCTTAGGTTAACCACTAAGTTAGCCTGGTATTTTTCTCAGTATGATGTCCTAGGACAAACATTCTGTGGTCTGACATCGACGAGTTAGAAAGGTTAGTGTGTTTCCTATATTCAAAATTTCTAATTTACTTCTAACTATAAATTCTAAAAGATACTCGCCCCGTTTGTTGGTGTTAGTGCTCCCCCATACCTCGTTATGTGCATTGGCATCGCAACCGAGTGTAAGCGGTAGTGTTTTTTTCTTACACTAGTCCATCAATCTGCATGTGCACAGAAACTCTACTGAGTTTCGTTGTTCGGTGGATACCAGGGGCGCGGCGGCCGGTGTGCGGGCTATAAACGATGCTCTCCCGTTTTAATGTAGTATGAATCTGGACTGCTACTATGTTCCAGGAAAGGGATTCTGAAAGACATAAGCAATTTAGATTTTTGTTTAATATAATACAACTTTCTGGGTTATCACATCTAACGTTCCATATTACCTGTGTGTATTTAGTGGCTCGACCACAAATCCGATTATTTAAAAGCCAAGACTCTTGGACCAGTATTGCACTCAGGTTGTTCCTGAGTACCAAGTCTAGCAGCGTCATGTCGAGGTCATCAATGCACTGACTATAATGAGGTGAAATTCTGATTTCCTCGATTTTTTGCTTATCATCAGCTATAGCAACTTTTCGTTTTCGATGCCTGCTGCCCTTCACAGGTAAGCTGTCATTAAGTGAACACCGGGTATACTATACCCGATGCACGTAATCAGCTGAGTACCTCCCAGTTTAATGACTGTGGTATCACTTCACAGTAATTTTCAGAGATGATACAGTAATTTTTGCATTACTAGACATGAATTTCGGTTACGATTTACTGTCCGCTCTACATTTTTTACCAGTACCACCTTTTGCTAGACTTATTTTAACTGCGAATCCTTTTTTCGGCTGTATGTTGTTCTCATTTTTTCAAGCCTTACCGAATGAGATGGTTTGCCTCTTTAGGTACCGGTGTATCTTTAGAGCCCATACGTTTAGGGCTTTCTTTATATTTTTTACCTCTCGAAGTTACAGTTGTTGCTAAAGGCATTGGATCAAGTTTCTTTCCTTGAGTCCTTTTACTTCCTTCCGTTCTTGTGTTCGTCCTTGTAAATACAGAACACTTTTGTACAACTAAACATAGAATACAAGAAACTCACTTCAATAAACTTCAAAGAAGTCACGATATTTGTATCATGCCGTAAGTACAACACACAAAAGGTTAGAGAGCAAATCGAGGTAGAAAAAAGACACACAACGGCGGACACTAACATTGGCTGTGCGGATGATCTGGCAGTAGCGGTGATCACTTAGAACATTGTGGAAATAACAGTCAGGTGTTCTGAATCAGTAGGCAGAGTCGCTTGTTAGCTGACTATGAACGGTCTTGAGATCGCGGAGCAGAAGACCCCGATCTCTACCCAAAGGTGCTTAGGGACGCAAAAGTTCGTTTCAGAGAACATCTTTTGGCCACAAAAGCGAAAGCGAACAGAACAGTCATGGCTCTCTCGAGAATTATGTTAAACACCGCGGGAATTCGGACCAGCAAGTGCAGAGTTCTAGCAACAGTTTCGAGCTCGATCATGTTGTGTGCGGCTCGAGTATTCCTTCGTCTTGAAGATGTCTACTTACGTGGCCTGCATTCAGTCAATGCACCGCCTATAAAATACTGTCAGGAGACGCCATTGGTATCTTGGCCAGCATGTCGCCAATCGAGCTGATCACGATCGAGTTGCGAAATACGGTACGATAGAGCTAGCAGAGAGCACGCCAGAAGGGAAACAATTCAGACCTGGCAACGCAAATTGTCGAGTTCGAACAAGGGAAGGTGAATCTGCTTATTCATCCCTAACGTAGAAATATGGATTAAGAGAGGACGCGATGAGGTAAACTTCTCCTGATGCAAGCTTTGTCAGATGCTTCTACAAACAAATGGACGGTAACTGACAAGACGACCAGACTAACGATTTGAGGTTTTGCTAAGGAAGCTTTCAGACGTAACCTAACGATGGTTTCTGGAGGAGCTACCCGTCCGGACAAGGGGAGTTTTTAGGGCGGTTGAAATCCGTCACTGACAAGACTTTCGAGCTTTTCTCCCGTTCAAAAAAGAAAAAGTAACAGAGAACACAATTTTTTGTTCAAGCGCAGTAAATTTATTTACGTATGTTTCTTGAACTTTTCATCAGAGTGTAGATTCTATCAGAATATTTAGTCTCGATAGATTTAAATAGAGATTTAAGTTAATTTTCATTAACTTTTAACGCTTCATTAAATTTATTTTTATATTCTTTAAGATAGTTATTATTTTTACTCACACTTTCATTTATATCGCATTTATTCATTTATTCGCATAAAAAAATTTTTTTTTTTTGCTTCCCTTTATTATACTGCCAACTGCCAAGATTTAGCATTTACTATACATTTTTACATAATGGAACTTCAAGTAATAATTCAAAAACAAGATTAAGAATTACATGAGTGAACTATTAATAGTGGATAAAAGAAAAAGAAAACTTTTCTTTAAATTAAATAAATTAAATATTATAAAATAATTAAAATTAATGGATAGATGATATAATAAATGAGTCAATGAAATAGACTGCTATGAATTTACTATGAATATATTTGTTAGATTATTATAATATTGCTAGTTCTGATGGAAATAAGCGCTTCAATCTTCTGTTATGTGTGGCTTCGTCATTAAGTAGCTGCCTCATTGTTGAGTTAGGATGGAAAAGTAATCTGTCTTTGTGCTTTTTACTACTTTTTCGGATAACGTCTGCAACGAAGGGTATCTTTAAATCGCGATGAATGTCATAGTTTGAGATGTACCATTCAGCGTTGATAGTAGTCCTAAGTATTTTTGATTGTAGTCTTTGCAGTATTTGAATGTTGTATTTGCATGCTGTGCCCCATATTTCGGCTCCATATTTCCATATTGTAGCGATTACTGTTTTATATACTAGGAGTTTCTATAGGAGTATACTAGGAGTTACTAGGAGTTTCCAGTGTTAGTTTTGATTTCGAGCAGAGTAGCCAGTACAATTGTCCAAAGCGACGCTTAATTTCATTGCATTTAGCTTTAAT